AATGCAATGAGACAGAAGATACGTATATATGCCACAGACCCGAGGCAAAGGGGTGAGACAAAGGCAGCGTGCAAGCTTTTGCTTTGTGTAGTCCTAAAGAGGTACCGAATCTTTTAAAAAGTAGTTTTGATGTCATTGATTGCTTCCTACAACTTTAAAATGCTGTGAGTACAGTCAGGAAAATGGAAATGATTAAATGCAAGACTGATGCTTAATGTGGTGAGTAATTAGCTGAGTCATAAGAGATCAGTAAAGAACTTTTTACATGGGGAACAGCAAAGAGAAATAGATTCCACCAAAGCAAGTATCTGCAGACTTAAAAAGTAGGAGACAATTTTGCGATGACTCTTTAGGCAGCTGAGTCCTCTTTGAAGGAAAGAAAATTGCATGTTGCTGAGAGAATCGCATCCTGGTGATGCTGACGGCCACTTCCACCCGTGAGCACGCACTGGTGGAAATCCGCTCTGTGCAAGGACCTGAACTTGGCTTGAGTGACCTGGGGACAACTCTCTTTTCATAAGAAATTTGAAAGGTAGCACCTCCGTGTTTACACAAGCCAGAAAACAGAAGAAAAATTAAAAATTAAAAATGGCATTTATTTTCCAGGTGCTGCTTTATGATGCAGATGCAGCTTTTGGTAAATGGGATATTTAAAAGGTAGTATGTTGCAAATAATGTAATCCTACAGATTTTTTTTTTAATAGTAGTTTTGGAATAGTTACGATGTGTTTGCAAACCTGAAGGCATTTAGACACAGGCTTTTTGCTTTCCATTTTCATTGGGTTAGTTAGTTGCTTAGCTGACGGGTGGAAATTTGTTTAACTGGGGTAACAGTTCAGTGTGGTCTTTTTACCTATATGGACAAGAAAACTTTTCAGAGAAGTTTGCGTTTATTGTAGACTTCATTCATACATCATTCACTAGACCTTCCTCTAATGGATACTTGAGGTTCTTGAAGAACAGAGGCATAACTGGCTTTAGAAATGCCGCAAATGGTACAGCTCCAATTGCAGATCTGAGCTTCTCCCCCGCCCCGCACTCGCCCCAGCGCCCACGCTGGGTTGTGCACATATTGTAACCTGAAGCTGGATAAGATTTCCCTCCCCGATCACAGTTTCCTTCTCTTTCTTTTTAGACTTGGCCGATACTGAAGTTTGATTGTACTTAAACTTTCTTCAAGTTGTTTTCTTTCTTTCCTGTTGTTGCCTCTTGCAGTCGGCACTGATAACTTTCTGCTCAATGGGAAGCTATGATCACAGATTCCCAGTGAACAACCTCATGGAGTTTGTGAATTAATTCTTTTTATAATTAAAAAGATTCTGGGACCACAGAATTTGTCCAGAAATAAGGAACAAAAGAGTTTCTGCGTAGCATGGGTGAAGCTTTTCTGTGTAAAAGATAAAAACTTTACAAGTTTGCCTAAGGCTGCTGGATAAATTGCCACGTGAATGAAGGCTTATTGCAAATGTCCGTCTTCTCCAGCGTAACTCACAGTGCGTCTGTCTGCCTGTTCCAAGGTGAATGTAGGAATGGGTTCACTTATCATTCAGAATGCAGGCTGGTTGGAGGTACCCTGTCCCCTTGTGGTGTGACAAAATAAAACGCCCAGGGGTGCAGCCTTGCTCCTGCCTTTGGAGCACAGCTGCCTTCTCCCAAGCTCCCAAATGACGGATCATTTTAAAACTCCGACTTTGAATGAGTTTGCATTTCTTGCATACTGTTCATATAAACTCTGCAGCAAACTTGCTACTGAAGAACTCTACAAAACCGTACAAAATTACCTTCATACAAGCCTTGTGTCTAAGCTGTGTATTAAAGTTCTTCAGTGTTCAGCTTTCCCATTAAAAAAATTAATCCTGCCACTTGTTGTTTAAACAAATTTGCATATTGAGCATGAACTTTGTGACGACTGTAGTTCTGTAATCCCACAGAGCAGTTGGGTGAGAAACTGTTAATTCCTCGAAGGTATTCTGCTCTTACTGAACAAGAGTTACTGCACGCGTGTAAATGACCACCGCCATACGCAGGGCGAGCGGTTACAAATGACATCTCTGAAGTATTTTATCGGTCCTGTTGAGCAGGCTGCTGCTGCTAACTTAATTACTGCTATTTCCATAGGCTTGAATATAATGCAGGACAAGATACAGAGACAGACGTCGTTTCTGTCTGTCGGGTATGGAGACGGGTCCTGTGATATTCTTCAGTCCAAGAATTGTATTTAGAAAGTGGTGAGTGGGTTTTCCTCGGTGGTTGTACGCAAACACCTTGGAGGCGCTTTCCTCTGGTGCTGTGGCCTCCCGTGCACTACTGGGATTTTTAATACTGTGGTCTCAAGTTGTATTCATATTTCTGTTGAAGGATACCAGCGTAGCACTGCTCTGTCGGCTACGTCCTAGTGACAGAAACAGCGGCTTACCCGTTTCAGATACCAACAGCGCATTTCAGTCTTTGAACCCCACTTCTTTATCATCTACAATGTGCACATCTACAATGTGCACTGCCATCTCAGCGAGGAAATGGATGTTACACCATCAAAGCCATACAGTTTGACTCCACATCCTGATTTCTTCTTGGGCTTGTTTATCTGATCTTGCTAATTGCCTAGCGCTGGTGGGTATCAGGGAAGGAGGCCACAAAAGGGTGAAGGTCTGAAGTTAAGAGTTTATACCGTCTATTTCTATTTTCATGTCATCGCATAGGCCATCATTTTTCCTTCCAAGTGCTACCAGAACTTGTCTTACAGTGAAGATGTAACATTTCCAGCTTCTTGCATTCAAACATATAGAGAAACACTTTGTTCCGCAGTGAAGGAACGCCATCACGTTGACTTCCTAAAAGGATTCTTACTATAAACAGCAGATACCTGAGAAAACGTAGGAGCAAGTTCGTAACCATGGTATGGTGCTTCCATTGTTTAAATTATTGTCTTCAGGTGTGTGGGTTTCGTAGGAAAACAACATGTTTATTGGTTGTGCGTGCCTAAATTCCCCAAGGCTGTGGG